CCTAAATTATCTAAAACGTGAAATTAAACTAATGAACTAATTATAAAAATTATAAACATCACTTAATTCTAATTTAAAAGAGAAAAAAGACAAAATGCAAAGATGAGCTATTTTTTTGTGATTTTCAAATTTATAAAACAAATAATTACTGATTAATTCTAAAAATGTTAAAACAAAATAAATCCCAAATGCAATGCATGATATTTTTGGTATTTTTCATGATTTAAATAAAAATTAAACATGCACAGAAATGCAAATAATCAAAATAAATCTACAAAAATTCTTAAAATGGCAAATAATTAACAAAAATCTATTTTATTGGGATTTTATAGGAGTATTTCGTATGGGGCAAAAATCACATGCTCACACATGCCACACAGGGTGCTTGTGGGGAACTTCAAGGAGCTTCTAAATTAAACAGGCAACACAAATATACAGCCACGGCGCACCACGCGCCGCCCCGTGCCCCGTGGTAGTGCAATCTTCCTAGAGCCAGGCCTTTTGCTTGCTTTTTTAAGTTCAAACGTGGTTCTCGACTCCTGAACGCTATCCTTGCTTAATCCTTAAGGCTTTTACATAGACTTCAAAGCCCCAAATAGCTCGAATTAACTCCATAACATCCATATCATTCGGAATCACTCCTACAAGGCACAAAACACACAATTAGTGAAAAAACTAGCGATTAAAGCTCAAACTCAATTAAAGAGCAGCAAATGAGAGTGAATTAAGTGACTAAAACATGAGATTATAGCCTACCACTAATGGCACATAGGAAGAAAGCAAGAAGTGTCCAAGGAGCCATTGCCACCCCAGGAGTGGCGGTTGATTCTGTATCTAATAATGCGGGCGAGCAACCAAGCGGTGAGCATATTCCCCCTAGCTACTACACCACCTGATGCACCTGAGGGGTGAGGATATTCCCCCAGCTACTACACCACCGGATTCTACTACTCCTACTCAGACTGCACCAATCCCTACTCCTACTGAGAGTGCAGCTGTTGCACCTCCAGCCCTAACTTCCGGTTCCGGTGTTTCTGATGGGGACCTTAGGGGAGCAATACAGATGTTGGATCGAATAGTGGCTTAACAGGGCTAGTGATCGAATGTTGCACCTACTTCTTCCAACTAGCAAGGGAATTCTGCTAGTTCCAGGATGAACAGATTCCTTAAATTGGATCCTCCGGTGTTCACAGGTACTAATCGTAAGGAGGACCCTCAGGACTTTATTGATGAGATGCACAAGACTCTCCGAGTTATGCGTGCTACTGAGATGGAGGGAGTGGAGTTGGCCTCCTACCACTTGAAATTGGTGGACTATTCTTGGTTTGAAATGTGGGAGGGGAGTCCCGTGAGGAGGGGAGCCCTCCGGCGAGGTGGAGTGAGTTTGTTGACGCCTTTATCGACCATTTCTTGCCTGCCGAGACTAAAGCAACCCGTGCCGCCGAGTTTGAGAGTCCAAAACAAGATAGACTTAGTGTGTGGGAGTATCATATGAGCTTTGCACGCCTGTCCAAGTATGCCATCTACATGTTCCCCGCGATGGAGGCTAGAGTGCGCCAGTTAGTGTAGGGCTTGGTTATTAATGAGGCCGCTACAATTGCCTTGAAGTATGATATGAACCGTGGGAATATGGTGGCATTTTCCCAAACCACGGAGACCCGAAAATTGAAGAATAAAAGGGAGCAAGAGGGTAGCAACAAGGCCCGATCAGCGGGTAACTTTAGTGGTGCTTCTGTTGGTGGTAGTGGCAGGTCAGCGTTTAGGGGAGGGACATTAGGGCCATCTCAATCTTTTGCTCAATCTTCAATAAGTGCACACCATCGGGGCCTAGTCAGTAGCAGTGGAGTCGTTTTAGGCTTAGCCAAGGCATTAGGGGATCCTACCAGCAAGGTCGGCTTGGTGGGAGATTTCAGCAGCATCGGAGGCCCCCATGCCCTAGGTGTGGGAAGATGTATTTTGGGGCCTGCTACATGGACCAGCCCATATGCTACGGCTGTGGTATCAAGGTCATATTAAGAGGGATTTCCGTTTGTCCCACCCGAGTTTGGGCAGGGGTATGGCACAACTAAGATTCCCGGCCAAATTTTAAACTATGTGGATTATATGATTAAACTAGGCGAGCGTAGAAAGATATGAAAGATGAAATTCCTATTATAACATAAACCAGTGTAAGGAAAAATATCATTAAGCTATATGAGTACTTGATACAAGTTTTGAAGATCACAAGGATTATAACTACGTCGGTCTATGTTTAATGACTAAATTGTTTACCTGCTACCCGATTACGGTGTTGATATTGTTTACCTAAAAGCGTTCTAATTCAATTCTAAGTCATGCCCTATGCGCTATCCGTCCCATCCCTAGGGTCCAGGAGGCTTTGGACCTACTATTTTGTAGTTCTAGACTTAACTCAGTTGCTCAAAATAATAAAACTAGGTGACAGTCAAAACATATAGGACTACACATAATTACAATAAAAAGGCTCAAGTAATATGTATTAAAATACCTTGATGCTTCATCATGTTGTCTTATCAATTGAGGACATGTTCGAAATATGGAATATATGTTAAAATGTTAGGACTTCATGTCAAATTCGAATAATGATTGTTATACCAAAGTGTATGAAAAACCTCTATGTGCTTAGGATTCCCAAATTGCTCATATATGTACTAATGTCTTAAATGATAGGCCTTAGTGTTGTTGATGATGATAATAATATTGAATGTAAAAAGGGAAACTGGAAATGTGAAATTCAGCCAAGTGCCATAAATGACCTTATAAATGAGGACACTCGTGCCAATGTATTGAAAAGATGGGAAAGAAACATGAAGTGAGATGACTGATTGAAAGGATGATGTCTCAAGTGACATGGCCTAGCCGATCGGGTCGTGATCGGACACCATGCCACACACAATGTGGTAACTGTGCTGGAAATGATTGATTGAAATTGTAGATATGATTGATGTCTCAAATGAGATGACCTAGCTGATCGGGTCGAGATCGGACTCCGTGAAAGAACATGGTGGTATTGTGGATTGTGGCATATCGACACTAAAGATCACCCAACCTAATAAGATGGAAATAGATTTGAGAACTTATGCGATCCTTACATGATGTTTTAGTATTGTTTGAAGCTCTTATTGTACTCATGGCTGTTTCCCCTTTGTTTTGTTGTTTATTCTATTGAGATGGTATTTTAGAATTAAATACTAATACTATCCGACAGTACTAACGTCCCTTTTGCAGGGGGTGCTGCATCTTTAAAATGGATGCAGGTGGTTCAATAGCTGACAATGTTGATCGTAGTTAGTGGTACATCATCCTCTTCCCAGCAGTCTTGGTGGGCCCGATTTAATCCCGGAGTCATGTATTGTATCTTTTGTTAGTATTTTTACCACGTTTTGAGGTATAGCTGGAGCCTTGTTGCCGGCATTATCATAACTATCTTTTGTATCTTTAGAGGCTCCGTAGACATTATGTGGGTTATGTATGGGTGCTAGAAAGGTAAGATGGGTTATGTTGTGTTTTGGACTCTTGTTCCACTTAATCGTGAAATGTATGTATTTTGGAACTTAACAATGATGTAGCAAAATGAAATGAATTAGTTATGTTTATATATATGATCCTTCTATTGTTTAACTAATGGAAACGTGCTTTCTCTTGATCATAAGCGAGTTGGGTAGAAAGTGTCTAACATGCTTGCTCGACCGGGTCTACTCGGTTGAGCGCCGGTTGCGCTCCCCGAGGTTGGGGCGTGATATTTAGTCCCATGCAAAGGAAGTCAATGCTTAGCCTTATGCAAGGCGAGGGCATTGTTTAGCCCTATGCAAGGAGTAAAGACAATGCTTAGTCTCATGCAAATGAATGCAGTGCTTAGCCTTACGCAATAATGGATGCAATGCTTAGCCTCATGTAAGGAAAGGCAATTCTTAGCCTTATGCAATAATGGTGGCAGTGCTTTGCCACATGCAAGGTGAGGGCAGTGTCTAGCCCTATGCAAGGAATAGAGACAATGTTTAGTCCCATGCAAAGGAAGGCAGTGCTTATCCTTATGCAAAGTGAGGGCAGTGTTAAGCCTATGCAAGGGGTAGAGATAATGTTTAGTCTCATGCAAAGGAAGGCAGTGCTTAGCCTTACGCAATAATGGAGGCAATGCTTAGCCTCATGCAAGAAAAGGTAATGCTTAGCCTTATGCAATAATGGAGGCAGTGCTTAGCCTCATGCAAGGTGAGGAAAATATGTAGCCCTATAAAGAGAGTAGAGGCAATGTTTACTCTCATGCAAAGGAAGATAATTCTTAGCCTTATTTAATGATGGAGGCAGTGCTTAGCCCTATGAAGGAAAGCAATGATTAAATACAAGAGGATAAAGCATTTCTTAGCGTGACGTGCTTGCGTTTGGCGACTTTGTCGTTATGAGGTTAGTGATCTAGTTGTGTGTATGTATTTGCAGATGTTCCTGTTATGTTCATTGTGCCTGCATCCAAACAAAAATCGTGAGTTCTATGGGGAAAGGTTGGTTCGTGCTGTCAAGTCCTTGCTTAGTCTTTAGTCTTGTCTTGAGGCCCTGCTTAAGTCACCTCGGGTAACGTCTGGCTTCCATAATAATAAAATTTTCGAAAAATATGCATGCATTTGACAAATTAATTGTAGCATGTATTTGTTCAAAATATGTGATAATGCACGATATCAAATAATTTTGATGAACTAATCATTGTGACACATTTTGAGACATTGCAACCTCCTTGATTTGGAGTTTTGAGGATCCTCGTCAAAATTCTGCCCCAGTTCAAATGCATACTTCTCTTCATACCTACTTTGGCGATTCTGAACATGAAAAGATCGGGCAGACCTGCGACCTTGCCCCAGTTTCTGATCATAGGAGAAATGAAGATCTTATTATGATGTGACCAAACCTACAGGGATGCTCGTATCCCCTCTTAAATGAGAATCAGGTCAAACATACTTCATTTACATCAAATAGAAAGTGCAAACATAATGTTAAACATAGTCGTCCGAATTGATAGGTTTTGGCCAACTCTCTCCATCTATTTCTGCAAGTATAAGTGTTCCTCCTGTTATTACCCGGTGAACCATGTAAGGGCCCTGCCAGTTGGGTGAGAATTTCCCCTTTGCTTTGTTCTGACGTGGGAAGATTCCCTTTAGTACCAACTGCCCCGGCGAGAATTGCCTCGACCTGACCTTTTTGTTGAAATCTTTTGCTGTTCTATTATGGTAAAGTTGACCGAGACATACCGCGTTTATTCTTTTTCCATTGATGAGAGCTAGTTGTTCATAACGGCTTTATACCCATTCCGCATAGCTGAGCTCGGCTTCTTGTATGATTCTTAAGGAAGGGATTTCCACTTCGGGGAATAACGAGTTCTGTACCATAAACCAGTAGATAAGGAGTTGCTCCAGTTGATGTACAAACTGTGGTGCGATACCTGAGTAAAGCAAATCGTAACTTATTGTGCCATTCTTTGTAATTGTCTACCATTTTCCTCAATATCTTCTTGATGTTCTTGTTGGCGGCTTCTACAGCTTCGTTCATTTGTGGCTTGTATGTTTTAGAGTTCGGATGCTTGATCTTGGATGTTTCACACATGGATATCATCAAATCGCTATTGAGATTGGCAGCATTGTCAGTAATGATTGACTCTGGTACTCCAAATCGACAAACAATGCGCTCCCGAACAAAATCTTCTACAACCTTCTTTGTTACAGCTTTATAAGATGCGGCTTCAACCCATTTCATGATGTAGTCTATGGCCACCAAAATGAACCTATGTCTATTTGAAGCAGCGGGTTCGATCGGTCCGATGACATCCATACCCCATGCGGAGAAAGGCCTGGGCGAACTTATTGCATTAGGTTCGTTGGGAGGTATTCGTATCATATCAGCATGTATTTGGCACTGGTGACACTTTTTAACATACTTGATGCAGTCTGTTTCCATAGTCATCCACAAATCCCCTGCTCTTAATATTTTCGTGGCCAAAATGAAACCATTTATATGGGGTCTGCAGGTTCCGGCATGTACTTCTTTGAGCAATCTGGATGCATCCTTGGCATCGACACATCGCAGTAAGCCCAAATAAGTAGTTCTTCGAAACAAAATTCCTCAACATTGAAAGAAGTGATTGGCTAATATGCGAAGCGTGGGCTTCTGAGTATGGATACAGTTTTTGGGTATTCTCCCATTTCCAAGTACTTCTTGATGTCGTGAAACCACGGATTTCCGTCAATCTCTTCTTTAACATGAGCATTATAAGTTGGCTGCTTACAAATTTCTATTGGGATAAGAACAATGACATTCTTTTCTAGGTGTTGTATCATGGAAGAAAAAGTGGCTAATGCATCTGCAAAGTCATTCTGAATCCTTGGAACATGTTTGATTTCTATCTTTGTGAACCTCTTAATCAGCTCTTGTACATAGTGCAAATATGGCAATATTTTGGTGTTTTTCGTAGTCCATTCTCCTAGAACCTGGTGAACCAGTAGACCTGAATCTCCGATTACCAGCAGATCCTGAACGTTCATGTCAATGGCAAACCTGAGTCCCGGGATGCAGGCTTCATATTCCTCCATATTGTTGGTGTTTGGAAACTTGAGTTTTGCGCATACCGGATAGTGTTGACTAGTTTCTGATACTAAGAAAGCTCCAATACCTAATCCTTCGAAGTTTGTTGTTCCGTGAAAGAACATTCTCCAACCACCGTATGCCTCGGTAATATCATCTCTTACAAATGATACCTCCTTATCGGGAAAATACATTTTCAATGGTTCATATTCCCCGTATACGGGATTTTCTGCCAAGTGATCCGTCATTGCTTGCCCTTTGGCTACCTTTTGAGTTACATAGACAATGTCGAACTTCCTCAGCAATGTTTCCTACTTCGCTAACTTACCCATAGGCATGGATTTATAAAAGATGTATTTTAGTGGATCCATCTTGATATGAGATATGTATTGTTGCACATAAATAATGTCTCAACTTCTGAGCTATCCATGTCAAAGCACAGCAGGTGCGTTCCAACAAAGAGTATCGGGCTTCATAAGGTGTGAACTTCTTGCTCAGATAATTTATCGCCTGCTCCTTTCTTCCTGTTTCATCATGTTGTCCCAGAACGCAACCGTAAGCCCCATCACGGTGACCTCCTCTTTTACCTTCAAACTCATATCCAGCTTGAACTCTCTGAGCTTCTGCTTTACTAGTGGACACATAGGATTGATAGGTAGTTTGTGAGCTACTATGAATATGCTTAAACTAGTCATATCATCGTAGGACCATGCAAAGATGTATTCATATTCCTTTAGGAATGTGATATACTCCTCCTTCTCCGAGTGTGATAGCTGAATGCTTATACGTGTTTCCTTGACCGTTTCTAAATCGCCTAAGTTAACGCTCTCAGTTTCCTCCAAATTAGGCTTTGGTTTGTTTTCAAAATCCTCTACATCTTTAACAATTTCCTCAGGTATTATATCATCTTCCAGATCCTCCAAATCACTGTCCTTATGTTGCGTTGTCTCATTACATGTCACAGTCGTAGGTTCATCAGGATATGTAATAATTACACTGAAAAGAAATGTAGAAAGATGATAATAAATATAAAAAGCAATAATGCATTAATAAAATTTAAAAATGTCAACAATTACGACTCGATGGCTCGAGTAATTATTTCATAACAAAATACTACAAAATATCTCAAATGCTCAAAACTATATAAAAATAATTCATGCTAATTTGCCAAGCTACCCTGGAACGCGGTGAGCCCAGGATGGTGCAACGGTCAACTAATCGCAGAACTAATTCATTCTGCCTTGGTGTACTTCTTCCATATGAATTCTCTGCATTCTCTACCATAGGAGCATTGTCTTTCTTGTCGCCACTCAAATCGTCCATCTTTCCTTTATCCTTACTTTTGATGTCGTTGAGAGAGGGGAGGTGGAGGACCTCTACATCTGGTGTGACATGCTGACGTTCGCAGAATGCACAAACCAACCTTTAGGAATGAAAATAATCAAAACAAAGAAAAATAAAAGGTAACCAAGTCAACAAGACCAAATGAAAGAGTGTTTGCAATATTTAAGCAGGTAACACATAAAGTCATGCAATGATTCACGTCCTAACTTGGGTACCTCATTGTGCCCGAGGTTGGCCTAAGCGACAATAGACTTGGAGAAAATTTATTCCAACGTTGCCTCATTTCATTAATGCAAAAATAGGTCAAATCAATCATTACTAAATCAAAATAATATGAAGTCACTAATGGCATAAAGCCTTATTACATCGAAATCTAACAAAATCTAACTCCAAAACAATAAAGAACATTATCTCCTAATTATTAGTCGCAGATGGACCTTCTCCATGTTGTTCTCTTTTGACTCCATCAATCACACTTCCTACGTCACGCATGTCGAGCGTGTATACCAAACCTGGTGATTTCGTGCTTCATTTTTTGCAAACAAACAAAGGTTAGCCCTTTCCCCCTATATATTTAACTACTTACGCAGTAATGATCAGCACCTTGGCACATTTTCTCCAAGAAATGCACATAATATGATAGTGTCCATTGGAATTGTGGAAATCCCGTCGGACTTTGGACAAGGTTCATCTTGGCGGGTTGTTACATTAATAATGCTTCAACCCATAATAGGTTTAGCGTGATGCATGTACATTTTAAATTGGAGTAGGGTTTCTAGAATGGTCTAGACTGGTACTCCCAAGTGGACAACTTGAGAGAAAAAGGCACGGGACCGTTGATTACATCGCTGATCGACTAGTCTACCGCAAATAAGCCTTTCCGACTTAAAAGGGGTAATTTCCAGGAAAGTGCGGACACTCATTAAGCGCCGCTATGTTGATAATTGGCACGAGTGGAGTATGATGTGGAGCTTGCTTTATGCAGAAATAATAACACATTGCAAAGTATTTGTATGCAAGAAGCAGTAAATAAAATTGCAAAAGTGAACATGAAAAGAAGAGAAAAGAAAAGAAAGAAATCATTTTGGCTCATGAAAATGTGCAAGAATATAATGAAGCATGTAAGGAAATAGGGATAATATAGCATTCAATATGGACAAAAATGGAGAGCAGTCATACATGTCATAGCAAACAAATGAGAATAGGGAAAGGGATGTGCATGTCATAGCAAAACAAATAAAGGTGAATAGAGGAAGGGATGTGCATGTCATAGCAAATTTAAACAAATAAAGGTGAATAAAGGAAGGGATGTTCATGTAACAAAGAAAGTAATCCACATGAGTCAAGTTCGTTATGGTAAGAGCCTAAGTGTAAATCCCTAGCAGAGTCTCCATGCTGTCGCGTCCCGTTTTCTTGCGAAAGTGGGTTTCGATGTGTGACAACTCTTTTATATGGGTATTAAAAGAGAAGAGTCGCCATCTAACAATTTTTAAAGTGCGCTACGACACCTATTTGCAAATGACTCTGTTTGACTAGTCAACGCCACCAAATATTGGGTAAGGGCTCAAATTACCTCAAAGTGAAGGTGTTACGCACTCTTTGAGGTCTACAACTATGGTTCAAGGCCGAATTTTAAACCATGTGAATTATATGATTAAACTAGGCGAGTATAGAAAGATATGAAAGTTGAAAGTCCTATTATAACATAAACCAGTGTAAGGAAAAATATCATTAAGCTATATGAATACTTGATACAAGTTTTAAAGGGAAAAGGGGGTCCTAAGTTTTTTAGCCTAAAGGATCCCCCCGTGCAACATAAATAATACTTCGCAAATTACTTTAGGTAGGAGTTGCTCAAATTATTCACCGGGCACAGACTATCATCTCCTGCTACACGATTAGTATGTTGAAGTTTTTCACCTAAAAGCGTTCTAATTCAATTATAAGTTGTGCCCTATGTGTGCACTACCCATCCCATGCCTATGGTCTAGGAGGCTTTGGACCTACTATTTGGTAGATCTAGACTCAATTCAGTTGCTCAAAATGATAAAACTAGGTGGTAGTCAAAACAGATAGGACTGCACGTAATTACAATAAAAGGGCTCAAGTATCCTCCACACATAAGCAGGAAAAGCACGCAGAAGATCCGTTATTGTTTCAGTTGAAGGAAGGGATTCATAAACGTAAGACCATGGCTTTTTCTCTTGGTTTGGATGACGGTACACTAAGGTACCAAGGGTGACTATGTGTTTAGAATGTGAATGGTCTCCGAGAGAGAATCATGACCGAGGCTCACACTTCAAGATATTCCGTGCTCCCAAGGTCTAGAAAGATGTATCATGATCTTAATGAAGTCGTTTGGTGGAATGATATCAAGAGGAATGTAGCGGACTTTGTGGCAATACGTCCAAAATGTCAACAAGTGAAGGTCGAACACCAAAAGCCCGGTGGGTTGGCATAGAACATAGAAATTCCAATGTGGAAGTAGGAGATGTTCAATTTGAACTTTATGGTAGGACTACCTCGCACTCCTTGTTAGTTTGACTCGATTTGGGCGATTGCGGATCAACTCA